TTTCGCTCGCCCCTGCGCCTCAGCAGCCGACAACGTGCCGGGCCCCACCGCCGCTGCCGCCTTCGAACTGGAAGAATCGCCGCCCGCAGCTCCAGAAGGCAACTCTGCACGCTGTGGCTCACGTGCCGGAACTTCCTCTTCGTCCTTCTTTTCCTGCTTCTCTTCGGCTCCCTTCTCATCCCCCTCGGGCCTCCCCCGCCTCCTCCAACACGGCGTGCGGAATGACGAGGCTGCTGCCGTTGGCGGCGAGGGTGCACACCTCAGCGTACCTCGGGCACTTGATCTTGCCGCCCGCCTCGAACTCATCTGAATTCACCTCGATTTTATTTTCCTCGGGGCACTCCTCATACGCACTGCCGCCGCTGTACTTCACCTTCACTGCACCGCCCTCGCACAGCACCTGCGCGCACACGCCCGCGAGTTTTGCACCGGTGTTCGTCTTCACCTTCAGCTCTTCCGCGTCCAGGCACCACGAGCCAGTGCCAGTCAGCGAACCAGGGAAAGTCGCCGCACTTGCCTCCGCGCACGCGTTGGACGTTGTCCCAGAAGTTGAATCTTGAAACCGCGTTGAAACAGCAGGGCACACGTCCCTCCCTCTCAGACTCCCACTCTGCTCAACGATGCTTGCGGTGCACCTCCCGAGGTGGCGGCGGTCAGAGGAGCAGCGAAGCGTCGTCGTGTCGGTGTCGTCGCAGAACATGTGCGGATACCTGGTGGCGAGGCCCTCGGTGTTGCTGCACTTCTTCTCCAGGAAGCCGCAGCCGGAGTTGTTGCCGCAGCGCATCGGCTCCGCCATGCCCCAATTCACGCTGCAGTAGCCGAGGTCCGCAAACACCGCCAGCGTCAGTGCCGTGTAGTAGCCGGCGCCGACCGTGGGAGCCATCAGCTCGTCCTTCGCGTTGCGTTCCTCCCAGTGAGGCACCTTCGCTTGCACACACCCAGTGTCGTCCTGCTCCAGCTCCATGCCCATGAGCGTGCCGCAGCTGAAGTGCGCTGCCGCCTTCGCTGTGACCGTGGCCCCCAGTCACCATCCTGCGGCGTGCTCCACGCACACTGGACACTAACTCCGCTATGTTATTAAGCTGCATTGCCTCGTGGCTGAACCCGAGGGCATGCGCCAGCTCGTGTGCGGCGACGCGGACGCTCCACGCCGTTTCGGTCATGTACGCCGGGTTGAAGTTCATGGCGCCGACGGAAGGGCAAAAGTCACTCCACGTAGCGCACTTGGCCGCCCACGCTGGAATGTAATGACTGAGTGGCCCGGCAGCGGCGTAGGGGACAATGTCGGCACCCGCCACACCACTCCTCTTTCATGTGCTCCAGTTGGAATTGTAAAGTGCCGGCAATGTCCTTTGGGATTTATTGGCACAACAATGTTCTCAGTCACTGGCCGCACGAGAAGTCGCTCCGCGTGCAGCTTGACGGCCTCGGGGATTATCTTCTTCGTGTACAACTGCCTCTTGTGCTCCGTCAATATCGGCTCGGCCGTGCAAGTCACCGGGCTGCCAAAGTAGTTCAC